AGGAGGGAATTCGACAACTTGGAACATCTCTGTTCTTACCGATTTTGTATTCAATTCAAGGAGGGAATTTCAATCAGCTTGTTCCAGGAAGAGGATGAGTTAATCCCATTTCTAATGTAGAAAAAACAAACCTTCTATTCCTGCCAGTAATCTGTGATGTGACCTTAGACAAGACACTTCTCTGGGTCTCAGTTTCCTCACTGTAAAGGAAGGGGGATGAGTCTATGGGTTGGATGGGGCCTCCCAGCTTCATCTTTTCTGCCTTTCTCCAATGCCTTGCTCATGTGACAGATGCATTGCTTACGGCCCACTCCACCCTCAGTGCTCAGGACACAGAGCTAATCCATCCTAACCTTCCCTCCTAGGGTGGACGCTGCCTCGACAGCCTCCTCAACATCCTTCTCCACTGCCACAGCTGATCTGTCTACACAGGCAAGACAAGCACTGCCATGCTTGTTTGGTAAGGCTGGAGGAAGCACCCCTCTTTATTTTTAAGCCACGAAGAGGCCATGGAATACGCCCAAGCAGCTGGAAAAGCAGCAATGTATTCATTTTAGATTAATTTAGAGGAGCGAGCCGGAAAATGCTTGGGCCATGTCTTGCAACAAATTTGGATCCTCTTAAAAGCTTACATAAGCTGTGATAACCTGATGGTGGGAAGTCTTTAATACCCACTGGGAGATGGGGAAGGATCTGACTCTTTAAAGGTCACCGTTACTTTGAACTATTTTAAAAGAATAACAAAGGAAGAACACTTCAAGTAAAGGCATTTAAGGTTCATTTCTGAGGGACCGGCAACTTGGGTTAGAACAATTTACACTGATTTTTAGACTGGATGAGAAGAGAGATGAGTGACAGTGAGCATTAGAGGCTGGCAAGTCCACACCGCTCCCCCTCTGCTCAGCCATCTGCGTCCTCCTTGGAGGTAGCTGGGGACCTCAAGCAGAGGCTGGAGAGCTGGGCTTGAGTGATCTGTGAGCGTGGTGGCTCTCCTGTGCTGGGATCCTGGTTTCAGCACTTACTAGCTGTGGGAAGCCAGGCAAGTTCACCAACCTTTCTGTGCCTCAGTTTCCTGATCTATAAAATGGGAACAATAACTGTATGTCACTTACAGAGTTGTTGAGAGGATTAATAGAAACGTGCATGTAAAAGAATCAGTGCTTGGCACATCATAAGCTCAACAGAGACTAGATATTAGTGGCAGTGCTGTCTAGGCATGCATTATTTTAAAATTAAAGTACTTTTTTGGCTTTTGGTTCCTAACATGGCTAAAAAGACAACCCTCTTTCAAGTGTCAGCTTGTGGTGGGTTTGAAAGCTCCCAGCACAATCGCCCCTGCCATTTCTGCTCTCCTTCCCTTGCTTAAGCAATATCTGGTCTCCATTTTTGCACATGTGCTTTAACAATCGAGATTCACTGATGGGCTCCCTTTAGCCTCCCTCACTTTTCATCTGGACAAGCTGCTAGGGAATCCTCTGAATTTCAACCCCAGGGAAGCCCCAAACCTTCTGGAGTCACTTTCTCTTAGAATCTTAAGACCATCGATGGTATCTGTCTATTTTCTGAAGCTGTAGAGACAGCCGCTCAGGAAACAGATTTTCAAAAGGATGCTACAATCAATGAATTAGTCAATTCCCTTGTGGTAGACGTGAAATTATCCCTAAACCACCCCAACAGAGGAGACTTTTACAGTGAGAGGCAAAGGGAAGCTGGGTTGTAACAATAGGAGAGCTCATTTGCAATGCAAATGAGCAACCAGCAGGCAAATGAACCCTTATGGGAAAACCACTCTAATCATAAAACTCACTTGCTTTGGGGAAACTGCAGTGTAAGGACAAGCAGAATCATAGCTCCGTGAATTCCGTCTAATATAGGATATTAGGGAATTATCCAGGTAGCTTTCTATGAGATTGCATTTGAATAAAACAAAACGCATTGCTGGGCAGTAGATAACATCTTTAAAAATCGAATCCACAATTGCAGACTAAATTATTTATGGTTGTCACTATAGCTGTGATAGTTTGGATTTGAAATAGGCTTTTCCCTGTTTTTATTTGTAGGAAAACAAGTCATTCAAGCTTTTTAGTGATACAATGTGACTTACTGTCGATGGCAGTTACGAATTTCCCAGCCCTGCCAAGCACAGGAATACCCAGAAGGGACATATGTTTTCTCTGCTTTGTGTTCCAAATTTGCCTTAAAAACATGCAATTATATGAAGGCCTGATTTATATTTTCAAGGAAAAGCACAATAATGGCCCTGTTTTCTAGCTGTGTTTCTCCAAAACGTATTTCTATTGCTGCCTTTAAAAAAGAAGTTGGCTAATGATCACTGGATTTTGGCTTTTCTTCATGATATATGAAAATTTGATAGAGTCTATGAGATTTAAGAACTGTTTTCTTAATGCAAAGAAAATTTAGTTAACATAGAAATTTAGACAAATCTTCTGTAGTTACCTTTCATCCATTTCCTTATTTTTGTGGAGGGTAGGAGAAGGGAGGCAGGAAGTGAGGAGAGTAGATGTGGCCAGGAGGCAGTGACGGAGCATGACCCCAGAGGACAGGCAGCAAACCTCACTGGCCCCGAAGGCATGACGTGTGTGTGTGTCACGTCTGTTTGGTAGAGGTGGCGTGGGGTGGGATATTTGTTAGGGATGGAGAGATATTTGTTGGGAATGGCTCTGAGGAGAAGTTGTGAAGGGAGAAAGTGAGGCTTTTTGGCCGCATTTTATGCTTAAATGAAAATTACTGCAAAGCCCTTTATAAATTATATAATCATACTCCCTTTAGATTTCATGCCCTTCATTGCTATTATTCATGATGGCTTTCACTCCGCTCTCTCAGCAGCATTTCCAGGAAATGTATTAAGAGAAGAGGAGTCAGTCTCTTTCTGGATTGGGGAGCCCCCTCCTGGGAGGTAGGGCAATTTTTGTTTTTGTTTGTTCTTTTTCAGTAAGGGAGGTAGAGAAAGGCAAAAGGGCAATTCCACATAAATGGTCGCTAGTGGACAGGCAATCCATCGCTGTAAAAATTTTCAGGAAGTAAGGAAGCTAAGAGGAAAAAGTATTCAGGTACAGTGGAAAGAATGAAAGTTTGTGGTCGGGATAACAAATAGGCAACATATTTTGATTCCTTTGTGCAAATCTACAAAACAAATGTGTTTTATGTAACTTATGGACCAATGAAGTATTTATATCTGATATTTAGAATTGTAAAGGCTCAGAAAAATACAGTGTGAAAAACTGTGATAGTAGCATGGCTTTTCTATAATTTTCCGATAGTAAGAGAAATAATTTTCAAATCCTTAAAAAGTTGTTTCACCCTCTGGAATTCACATCTAGAACTCAGGAGGAGAAGTCACGTAGGTGTTCTTAGAGACAGGGTCTTTTTGTTAAAGCTCAGATCCAAGTATGTTTTTCTCGTATGTGTTGTGTATGAGCCTGCTAAACTCTCAACTGGTTGTTTTTTTGGATCCTAGAGAAGGCTTTGGTCAAAGGACACTCTGAATTAACTCAGTGGTAATGTCTTTTGTCTGATAAGGGAAATGGCCCTCCATTTGATGAAATATCTTTTCCGTGTATTTAAATACTGGGGAGAAGAAACTTCGGGCTACATGTGTCTCCACTCTAGAGCTGGGTCCTTGGTTTTGTTCCTCGATGAAAGAAATTAAAAAGTAATTGTGAGGTCACTCAAGTCACAATTTGAAAGGTGCTTTAATTTTACAAAATGGCAGATCTCCCAATAGCTTTGGTGTCAGTCTGAGTTTTACAGGAGGAGCCATCACCTTGGAGACTGGTGCACAGAGATTTCAGGAGATGATCCTATTGGGAGAAAAGCCAATTTCCTCCTTTGCTATTTGTCTCAGGCCTCATGAGACAGTGTAAGAACATCAGAGCTTGACTTGGCGGTACTCATTGGTGATAGTTTATTCATTCTAAGCCAGATGCTTGGGGATTTTCATTTATAAAAGGCAAATTGGTTAGACAGTAGCTAAGAGACTGAAGGTGAGGAGGAGATATTCTCTGGGGATCTGTTTATTGACTAAAAGAGATCCAGTTTCACTAACACAGAGTACCTCCATCCAATGGCCACAGCTTCAGAAAATTTACCCCAGAAAAAGAGATAGCAGGTCGGTTCTCCCAAGGCCTCCGCCTGGTTCAGCATGGGTGAGAGATGGGCTGGGGAGCAGAGGATGTGGCAGAGGCAGCTGTAACACACGGGACTTCTGACAGAGGACAGAGAGTCCTTGGAACTTGACACTAAAATATATGTAGACCCCCTTTTCTCATTAAATCTAGTTCCTGATCCTTTTTGTGTAGGGGTGCAAAGGCTTCTTTTCTCTCCCAAGTCAAAACTGATCCTATCCTCCCTCCCCTCCCACAACCTCCCCACTTCCTCCTTCCTTCCACCCAGTAAAGCCAACCTTACACTAGAATTTGGGGTTGTGGAATCAACTGAATTGGTGTAGAGACTCACAACAGTGAGGGGTGGAATATCCAAAGTCACATGGAGGCTGAGCTTATCTCACTGGCTCCATAAAGAGAGAAGTTATGGGTTTCCAGAAATTGTATTTTATAGATATCGCTATTAGCATTATACATTTTTAATTGATTTTCTTTTTGTTTTGATAAGATAATAGCAAATGACCCTTGAAGAGTTACAAAGCTTAAATGTACTCTTTCAGGTAGGAATTGGCCAGGTGAACTTTCAAAATACTCATCTGGGTAATTTGATTTTCTTTTTGCAGATTAATTTTTTCAGTGAAAATCCTTTTAATTCTATAAAATATCAATGAAGATTAAATTCTTTTTAAATTGTCACTTCTTAATGGATTTAGAAACAAATTGTGAATGCATCAGAGAAATGAACAAAAGAAATACATGTTAGAAATTTACAGAGTTTAGGTAAGTCTAATTAGACATTCAATTCTTTGGACTTTGGCGCCTAGACTAAAGAAAATGCAGCTATGTTCATAGTTAATTATTCTTTTTTGCTTTCAGGAGTATGAAAAGAGAGGAAGACAGCTGCTGGATCTGGAAACTTTCAAATGCATAATGAAACAGAGTATGAGGTCACAGAATAAAGTAAATGGATTTTATAAACAGTGGATCATTGAAACCACGGTTAAAACTTTAACCATATGAACCAATTAGGCTCAATGATCTGCCTGTGAGATCACTCTCAGTTCTGAATTGCAATTTCTACTTAAAACCTATCTGATTTACTGAACAGTTTACATGCGAAAATATATTTAAATTGCTTAGTACACTAGACCAACAAGATATTTAAAAACTTTTCTTAAGAAGAAGACTTTCACTACATCACTGGTTGTATATGTGTTTTTGTCCAGAGTTTGGGCATTTCCCTTACCCCAATCTGCTGGAATTAGGTATTTTAAATTTTTTCTCTACCATCTTGGTTAGCCTAGAATATGAAATCTTAATGAATAAGGTTGTACTCATATCATAAAATAAAATACGTATTATAAAGGGATAAGCTGTTTAAGCTCCATTTGTTAAGGTTTCATGACTGCTTATGTCTTAAATTATAGAAAAAAGGTATTCAAGGTAAAGCTCTGTGATCTTGTTCCTGGAGTTTGAACAAAAACACACTTTTGTCAGCCTGTAGGCTGCTGAAGTCCTCAGATGCCCTTTTCAAGGGCAGAGCCCCAGATCCCATGGTTACAGTGGGAGTTGAGGTGTGCTTAGCATTTCACCCACTGTGGGAAGGGAATGTTAAATAACACCTATTTTTAAAAGTGTCCCTTCCTGTCTTAGCCTATTCAACCTGCCATAACAAAACACCTTAGACTTGGTGGCTTACAAACAATAGAAATTTGTTTATTACATTTCTGGAGGCTGGAAAGTCCAAGACGAAGGCAGATTCACTGTCTGGTGAGGGCCTGCTTCCTCGCTCCTGGACAGCACCTCCTCGCAGTGTGCTCACGTGGTGGAGGGAGTGAGGGGTCTCTCTGGGTCCTCTTTTTATAAGGGCATTAATCTCATTCAGAGGGATCTGCCCTCATGACCCAATCACCTCCCAAAGACCCCACCTCTCAGTACCGTCATATTGGGAAGTAGGGTTCCAACATATGAATTTTGGGAGAACATAAACATTCAGACCACAGCAGCTTCATTTGTGTGAAGTGAAAAAAAAAAACAAAACTTCCTCTTAGGAAGAGAGAGGAGTGTCTTATTTAAATGGATAAATTATTCAGTGTTTTAGCAATATCCCAGATATTTTAAACCAAAGTGGTGTCATTACCTATATTGTTAGAATGCCTGCCTGCCTTCTTAGTCATCTACCCCTTCCTTCCTTCCTTCCTTCCTTCCTTCTTCCTTCCTTCCTTCCTTCTTCCTTCCTTCCTTCTTCCTTCCTTCCTTCCTTCTTCTTTCCTTCCTTCCTTCCTTCCTTCTTCCTTCCTTCCTTCTTTCCCTCCCTCCCTCTCTCCTTCCTTCCTTCCTTCCTCCTTCCTTCATTTTTTCCTTGCTTCCTTCGCCCTTCCCTCCTTCTTTCAATATATATTAGCTGCAGGAGGCTTTCTCTTAGCCCCCATGATGCATCTGGTCAAGTCATGGTCTGTGTCCTGGGGAAGATCAGAGTTGTGATAGAATTAAGCCCGGGTACAGAGGGAGCACCCAACCCGGACCAGGAGTCAGGGAGCCTCCTGCAAGGTGAACCTTGGGCTGAGTTTTGAGTGATGAAGGGAATCACTCCATAAGGAGGGAGAAAGAGGCAAGGCCTCCTAGGCAGAGGGAACAGCATTTGCAAAAGCACAGAGGCAAGAGGCAGCATGCTACCTGTTCCACACATCCAGCAGAGGGTGTACAAGGAGAGGTGGTGGGGGACCAGGACAGACATCACATTACCTGGGGCCATTTTTGCTCAGCAAAATGTTACCCAGTACATCACTGAGGAGCCATGAGACCACTTCTTTCCTTACTTATGTATCAAACAGTCATTGATTTCCAACTAGGTGTCCACATTGCTTTAGGATCTTTATGTCGTTTATTTCATCAGTCTCCAGAACATCAAAAAGGTCCCTTCAAAAGGATCCTTATCCCTATTTCATAGATGAGAAGACTGAGGCTTAAAGAATCTGAGTAACTTGCTTGAAACCTGTCAGCTACTAAGGAATAGATTTGGGATTGAAACTCTAGTCTGCCTTTAAAGCTCATTATATCAGCTAGGATTATCTTTAACTACAGGTGACAGAATATGCTTAACCTCAAAGGCCTGAGTGAGGCAGAGGCCTTTTCCTCTCTCATGCAGGAAGTCGAGGGTCAAGTGGCTTCATAAAATTTTCAGAGACCAGACCCCTTCTACTCTGCAGCTTTGTCATCCTCAGCCTGTGCATTGCATTCCTCCTCATGGCCCAAGGTGGCTGCTCAGGCTCCAGCCAACATGCTCTCATCCTAGCCAGTAGGAAGGGAGGCGTGCTAAGGAAAGACTTACCCCTTCCCTTTAAAGACAACTCCCAGAAGCTGCCCATAACACTTGCATTTGCAACTTTTTAGTCTGCTGCAAAAGAAGCAGGTAAATATGGTCTTTGTTCATGTCTTTTCCACTATTCTAGGGTTTCGTATTTTGGTACCTGCTAAGAACAAGAAAGTGTCTCCTTTGCTCTTTCTATGAAATGCTGACTTACTTCATCAAAAGTCAACGCCAAGAAGGGGAAGGAGTGCTAAAGCATACATTCAGGAAGGACATGATGTGTAGGGTCTTTCAGACACAGGTGGCAACTAGAAGAACAGTGATCTCAGCCCAGAAGCATATTAAGCCCTGTGGCTTCCTTGGGAAGCCAAGAGGGTGTCCTAACTCTCCTAGAAATATCGTACTTAGATGCTCCTCCTTTCAAACTGATAGTGGTCTATAGTTACCCATATAGAACTTACCATTTTGCATTACATGGTTGGTTTGCTTGTCTGTGGCCTTACTAGACAGTGAATGCCGCAAAAGCACATCTTTCAGCTCTGAAACCTCAGCATCTGGCACAGCGTTTGGCCCACCACTGGTGCTCAATCTGAGTGTCTCCAGTGGTTGAATCACTGTGTAGAGGCAGAGTTCAGCGTCCCTGAGTATCCCACTGAGAATCATGCCGTTTCATGCAGAAGCACATGCTCCTCCTCAGCTCTGGGCTGGAAGGAGGAAGCTGGATCTCTCTGGGCACAGCCCACAGTACTGCAGGGCTAACGAGAGCCCATCTGATGGCCCACAGCCTCACCATGCAGCTCACAACACTGCACGGCCCTTGCCTGCTGCCACCCTGTCTGGAACCTCAGAGTGCCCAGGGGGTACACACAGCTTCCCCAGGCTTGGCTTCATGGTCACAGAGGTGGTCTTGGGGATAGCCTGAGCCCAGTGTGTAAGTGCTCTCCTCCTGGGCTTTTCTGTTTTCTGTTCCATCTCTGACCCTAGGCTCTTCAGGGTATTTTGGTTTGTTTGTACATTCATTCCAAAAATATGTGTTAAGAAGTTGTGTGCATGGTATTGTCTAGTGGCCATGGTGAAGTTTGGCACTGTCAGCCATGCCTGGGAACATGACACGTCTCCACTGGAACATGACTTAGAAGGAACTGGTGCTGAGCGTGGCTGCACAGCCACGGTCTTTCTTCATGGCCCCTACACTGGCCCTGGGTGTTGACTCACCCCTGGGCAATGCCCTGGTGTGTTGGATACCACGCGTCACCCCTGGGATATATGAGAAAAACCAACCCCTTACTTCCCAACACAGACGTGTAACACAACCACCTCTGTTGAAGCTGCCTTCTACATACATTTATGAAATTATAGATCTTGGGGCTTGAAAGGACCTTAACCCCTTCGGTTCTCAAAATCTCTTCTCTGCTAAGCCATGAGCCAGCATGTGCTTGAATGCCTTCAGGTAAAAAGAACTCAATACCTTATAGGGCAACCCATTTCAAGGTTGGAAAGCTCTGACCTTAGATATTTTTTGTCCTCTGTGATCTGAAATTAGTCTTTATTGACATTCTACCCTCTAGCCCAATTTCTGTACTTTTCAGCCACTGTATTAGTTATTCATGGCTCAATAATAATTGGGACAGAGTTTCTTGTTGCCCAGGCTGGAGTCCAACGGCACAATCTTGGCTCATTATAACCTCTACCTTCCAGGTTCAAGCGATTCTCCCACCTCAGCCTTCCAAGTAGCTGGGATTACAGGAATGTGCCACCATACCCAGCTAATTTTTTGTATTTAGTAGAGATGGGTTTTCACCATGTTTGTCAGGCTGGTCTCGAACTCCTGACCTCGGGTGATCCACCTGCCTCGTGTCTCACAGGGTTTATAAGTTAAGAATCCAGGCATAGTCTAACTGGGTCCACAGAGTGTCCCACCAGGCTAAGGGCCTCATTTGAAAGCTTGCCTGGGGAAGGATCTGCTTCCAAGCTCACATGGTTGTTGCCAGGATTCAGTTCCTTGCAGGTTGTTGGACTAACAGTCTCAATTCCTTGCTGGCTGGTAACCAGAGGCTGCCCTTAGTTCCTTGCCACATGGGCTTCATTACAGGGCAACTAACAATATGGCATCCAGCTTCATCAGAGCCAGCAAGGGAGCAAGTCTGCTGGCAAGAAAAACCATGAGCTCATGTAATGTCATCACAGAAGTGACATTCCCTCAGCGGTGAGGTATTCTACTGGCTCAAAGAAAGTTACTCAGAGCATGAGAATAACACAGATGAGCCATGAACATCAAGAGGCAGGGATCACTGGGTTGATCTAACAGTCTACCTGTATAGCCACCCAGAAAAAAAATAGCTCTCTCCTACAGGATGATCCTGCTAATCTTTGAAAATAACTTTCATGACTTACACTTCTTTTTGTCTTCGTTTACACCCAAGTGAGTATCCTCACCATCCTTGTCCTTTGAACTTGGTTTGCTATTTAACTCAAAATGAGGCCTCTAAACAGAGGCAAGTGTTTCATCAGGAAGTGACCAGGGAAGAGGGGGACATCCTGGGAGCCTGAGCACTGAGGAACACACAGCTTCTTCTGATTAGAGCTTGATTTAAAAAACAGAAGGTCTAGGAGGCCAGGTCTCTCACTGGAGAAGGGTTTTGGTGTCTGCGTTGAATTTCAGTTAACCATCCTATTAATGTTGCGGAGTTCCAGAGATTGTTGAGTATTACACGTTTTTGAATGTGAAGTTTGTATGAAGATTTCCCCCTCCTTCTGCATCCCTTTCCCCAGCAATCTAGTGAAGTCTATAAACAGATTTGTTTTTTTTTTTTCTCTCTAGAGTACTGAACAAATAGAACAACTTTTCATGAAAACAGACTCTGAAACAGTGGGCAGGATTCGGTGGGTAAGTTGGGATTTTTGTGAATCAGAGTTGGAGTTCTAGGGAATTTGCACAATGTGTGTATTTCCAGCCCATTCCTTTCTGGAGTGCCCTTTGCCCCTCAGTACCTTTGGCCAACCCGAAAATGAACCAAGGGACATGCTTGTTTGCAGTCTTCAAATTCTTGTCATGTCTGGCTATACTTGGAATACTTCAGCTAGGAATTTCAGCAACTCAGGCAAGTTCCTACAATG